ATGATCCTGGGTCCATGAGATTCCCATCCTATTAGTGCCTTTTGTGCATGTTTGGACAGCATCAATGCAACTCCTTGTGTATGTGAAGCGTTTTCCTCTTCATGACCAGAGTATAACAGCAGTTCCCCTGAAGCTAGTCTCAGTTGTCCTACTTGTGTCCAATGTGTTTCACTGATTCCAAGCACCTCGAGGTTGTATCTTCTCATTTCTGCCGCAACTTGAAATAGTCTTCCAGTCTCCCACAATGTACGAACGTTCCATGTACCTAAAAAAATGGTTGCTCTGGTTGTCAGAAGAGGCATCAGCCCCGTGACTTCCGAGGGAACTCGGCTTTCATCACGCGACGTCATAATTCTTCCTCCAACTCCCAGGGCAGAGTTAAAATGGTTTGAATTATTTTTTCTGGTTAGCGTTTTTTTGGCAAGTTAGTTTTTGACGGAATGGGGTCGCCAACCCCATGTCCAACCCTCCTCCTTTACCCGGGCTTGGGACCGGCAGTAGCCCCGAAGGTTCTACTGGCGGAGTTGGAGTGACACTATAGGCTACTCTAATCCAAGCGTCCCAAAGCCCCACTAACTAGAGGGAGGATTCTTGATATATGGCGTAGAAAGCGTATTCTACAAACACCCGGAAAATCGAAGTTTCCAAGCACACAAATCGAGTTTATTTATACACGATAGAAACGCTCTTGAGAGAGTCACAAAAACAGCGTACTAAAATAATACATCAACCAATAACAATCAAGGATTTTCCGAGTGGGAAATGCAATCTCAAGGTCAACTGATCATCCCATGCGCGAAAGCACAAAATCCAAAATTAAGACCTTTTCCAATTGATTTCAGGGGATCTGACGTCCCCAACAAGTTACAACTAGACTAATGGTCAAGCATAGAATTTAAGCTCTCTGGACCTTTTTGTATATTCGTCGCTCAAATTTGTTCTCTCGGCGTATTGGTCGTTGTAAAGACATGATCTAATATGACTTGTAGCCTACTTTAGCTGATTATTTTTCCACTATAATTTAACATTTCTTCGTTTCTTTTTCTATTGTATCACATGTTGTCATTTAATTTCTAATTATATCGTTTTTTCTGACAATAAATTACCATTTTTTTCATTGATAGATTATGAGTTGTGTTTATCGGAATGCATAAAAATCAATTATTTTCACATAAATACCGAATAGATTTAAGGGCTATTAACATGAAAAATGATACATATTCTTTCCTTGGTTATATTAATTTTTCTTTAAACCATATCTTTTCAGTATACATTATCTCCCGGTTTTTGAATTTGAAATACCTTAATCTACTTTTTTATTTATTGTTGCAGCCATAAAGTTTGGCAGTCTTATTTGGGAAAGTCTACTGACTTTTCCTAGAAAAGGGTCCCTAATCCGAGGCTCACAAATTTAACTGATGAATGTAGTCTTGTGAGGAGTTGTAGAAAACCACATGAGCCTTGTTGTATGATTGTCGCACCTGGAAGCAAGTATATATTAGACACATACCGCTGGTAATTAAGTGTCACTTTTTGGTTATAGTGAAGACTTTCCAGTTGTTGTTCGTTCATTAGCGAGCTCAATGCGTATCTTTGCATACATCCCCTACACGTATGAACTACATAAGTGGAAACTAATGCTGTTCATATATGCGTACATACACATTAAGTAGCTTTTATTGTCCCAAAATCTGACTCCTTGTATGGGAGGCCGACTGAGTATGCAATGAAATAAATCTCTCCTTTAATTTCTGCACATCGTACTTAGGGCGAATATCGGTTGTGAGATGCAGCTAATAAGAATCCAAATATGGATTCGACCGGATGAGTAATTTTTTTTCAATCAGTTGTTCAAGCAGATAGATATGAAAATAAAAGCAAAGTGGAGAAGGCGAGTGAACCAACTCACTTACGATGAAACATGACTAAGTATTTACAGTCAGACTGTTACGCCTGCACGTGAGCACGTCAACTTGATATACTTGAACTATTATTACGAGTTTACCTAGTCGGAAAACGAGAACGAAGATCGAGGATCCGACGACAGGACATGCTACTCTAATCCGATTATTCCAACCCCCATATTCAGTAAAAAATAAGAAGACATGATATGAATTAGAACGTGTATTCTACAAACATCCAGAAAGTACGAGGTCCGAGTCCAGAAGAGAATCAGGATCCCGGATTAGGGATCCGGGACCGGGTCCTGGTCCTGGTTCTGGTCATAAAACTTTACAGATAATGCGTATTTATACATTTTGTTCGAATGGGAAACAGCATCGAATTCTGTGACATTGACAGTTAAGACGACCAATAGGAAGTAACATTTGAAGTAACATTGATAGTCAGGACAACCAATAAGAAACAACATTGGAGCACGTGGCATTGATATTTGGGACGACCATGAAATTGACCAGTAGGAATTAACCAATAGGAATTGACCAATAATTCTCTTAGGATATTGGATGAATATCCTAACACAGACAAAAATAGGCTTAAACACCTGTGATAAGCGAAGTAAGCAGTGCACTCAAATCAAAGTAAAACACACAAGGCTATAAGCAGATAATTGACAAAGTCGAAAGATGTGTGAATCAATCAATCAATTTGTTTACAGGTTATGTGGGACAAGCCCTGTTAGCTCAATATATTTGTACACACACTACAAGTTCTTTACGACTGTTTATTTCTCGAAGAGCGATACAACAGAATGAGTGATCAGTTAGCTAATACACTTTCCCTACGAGTACTAGGTGAGGATGGCAAATCAATAGATGAAGTAGTGAGACTTCATCACTTGAGGTGGTTGGGACATGTGTTACGTATGGCTAACCACCGACTGCTTCGACGAGCTGTTTTCTGATGTAGGAGTAGGCTGGAAGAAAGCTAGTGGCGGTAAAACCAAAACATTGCACAAATCCATCAAGTCATTGACAAATGGACTGAGTCATATCGGTAAGTGTAGACTACTTACCTGATTGGGGTTGGCGAGATGATAGTAATCGATGGTTAGTGACTTTAAGTAACATGGTTCAAAATCGTTTGCATTGGCGCAGATGCATCCATTCTTTGTATTCTCTCTAATGCTGCTTTTGTGAATTCGTCATCACTTCTACATTTCTCCTTCTACACTTATCTCACTGAATTATACTTCCTCAATAATATTTTCAAACCCTAATCTCCTCCATCACCAGTAATACTTCAACTATATCTACCACTATGGGATTTGATTTGACATTTGCGTCTCTGTGCTAATGTGGTATGGCAACCTGAACTGATATACGTACGTACATAAGTATCATGTTCTCTGTTGTAACTGTTTCAGTGAAAATTAATTTGATTACTGATTAAAAAAATGATCACGATCATATTTTTTTATTTAATTGTTGAATGCTAATCAAATCCTATCGATTCACTTACAATCTACCTACTGATTTCGGTCGTATTCACTCAAGATTACATGCATATATTAGAGTTAAGATGTTAGACTATGCTTTATAGCGACTCACATACATTTAACACTTTGAAGTGATCAATCAATCATTGTTAGACCACCATTGGAATCCTGTAAGCACTGGACGGCCGTTTCGTCCTAGTATGGTACTCATCATCAGTGCGCATCCACAACTCATGCTCCCCGCAGGATTCAAATACAAGACCCTCAGTCTTAGGCGCAAACACCTAACCTCTGAACTACTAAGTTGTTTGTTATTCAAAGGTATTAATGTGTAACTCTGATCAATCTAGGGATTTTGCGTGACCTCACCTATTTGTCTTTGGTAGTTACTGCCTACACCCGACAGGGTTGAACTTCACTGGTCAGGTCTTCTCACTACAACTCCAAGAATGTCATTACCAAGCTAGTCACTAGTCAGCAAATACATTTGTGTATGATTAATTTATTTAACAGACTAAGTCATTCCTGAAGCAATAACTTATCTGTACCTTTGTACTTTCATTATTGTCACGTTTGTATGAGCAGATGTGATTGAGCATCCCTTACCGTCTACACACACACACACATTCATTCCACTTGCTTCAGTGTTTGCCACTTAAATCATTCGATAACTCATTCTTATAAATACATTTTAATCCTGTTCATTAGTGTGCCTATTAACTTGTGCACTCACTCACACACTCACTCGCTCTTCAGTACTGCCATATCATTTTCGCTTTGTGTACATGTGATTTTGACGATTTGTATGTGACGCGATAATCAACGTCTGCAACTCTTCGTCTTCTGAATTGTATACACCTTTAGGTGTTATTTAGTAACGGTTATCAGGGTGAGTATTGTATGAAGTTGTTAGGATATTCATCCAATATCCTAAGAGAATTATTGATCAATTCCTATTGGTTAATTCCTACTGGTCAATTTCATGGTCGTCCCAAATATCAATGCCACGTGCTCCAATGTTGTTTCTTATTGGTTGTCCTGACTATCAATGTTACTTCAAATGTTACTTCCTATTGGTCGTCTTAACTGTCAATGTCACAGAATTCGATGCTGTTTCCCATTCGAACAAAATGTATAAATACGCATTATCTGTAAAGTTTTATGACCAGAACCAGGACCAGGGCTCAGTCCCGGATCCCTAATCCGGGATCCTGATTCTCTTCTGGATTCGGACTTTGTGCTTTCTGGATGTTTGTAGAATACATGTTCTACTTCACATTCAAGTCTTCTTATTTTTTACTGAATATGGGGGTTGGAATAATCGGATTAGAGTAGCATGTCCTGTCGTCGGATCCTCGATCTTCGTTCTCGTTTTCCGACTAGGTAAACTCGTAATAATAGTTCAAGTATATCAAGTTGACGTGTTTACGTGCAGGCGTCACAGAAACCTAAGCAATTATGTCGAATATCAATTACCGCAGAATTAGTGAGGAGCCTACATCCACCACAGCTTCATATCCTTTGTCACCTACATTCAGTTAACTAACTAACTAACTAACTAGCTAACAGTTACTTTTATGATTACTATTATCTTTTCTTTTAGAGAATGAAGTACGTTTAGCTGCATTGAAAACAGCCAGTGAAGCAATACGTTCAGCTAGAGCTATGCCTTCGAATCATCCATTGTATTATGAATTAAATAAAATAGTGAAAATGCATATGAAAAATTTCACGAATACACAGATCTTTGATTATTCATCAAAACTTTGTTCCAACTCCATGTCATCCTCAACTGGTACACTATCTTCTCATATTATCAATGGTCATAGTCATATTCATTCACAAGAAACTACTGGGAGCGATGAAATTCCAGAAAATTGGAGAATTGTTGTACAAGATGGGGATATGATTGTATTTCGACGTGAACTTATATCAGATGATGGGGTTGTATTGGATCCGTTACAGGTTAGCGAAATAAAAGACATTTTCGTGTTCTATCTATCCATCTGTATATATATATACTTATTGTGGAGGTGTTTCGTTCTCTGAGCTGGATGGTTTTGGGTTGTAGAGCTTTGATTATTCTTCTGAACAACATCATCTGAAATTTGTGCTGATGATGTTGTTCAGTAGAAGAACAATGAAAGCTCCACAACCAAAACAACCAGCTCAAAGAACGATACACCACCAGAATCATGCACCTGAGCTACAAATCAACTCCACCATTACTTACTTAGGCCTGTTACCTTAAGCGATGCATAAGCTGTCGGATAGCATTCTCTAACCTACACCAGTCCTGGTCCTTCTTTTCAAGTTCTATTCATGTGCTGTTCATTCTTCGCATATCTGCTTCCAATAATTGGCGTAATGTGTTCTTAGGTCTTCGCCTTTTCTCTTGACCATGAGGATTCCAAATGAAGGCTTATCTTGTAAACGCAGTTGTGTGATGTGTGTGTGTGTCGTATCCACCTCCAGCATTTCTTGCTGATTTCTTCCTCAGATGGAATCCAGTTTGTTTTATCACACAATTGGTTGTTGTTAATAGTGTCTGACCAACGAATAAGGAGTATCTTGCGTAGACAACTGTGAATAAACATTTGTATATTCCGGATAATTGCTTTCGTGATTCTTCAAGTTTCCGCTCCATACGGTGGAACGGTTTTTGACGTTCGTGTTGAAAATTCCGACTTTGGTGTTGTTTGATAGAGTGCCAGACGTTCTCCTACTGAAAAAATGCTGCCCTTGTTTTTCCCATCCGTGCCTTCACATCTACATAAGATCCACCTTGTTCATTAGTGATGCTGCCTAGTTGTGTAAATGAGTTCTACCTCCTCCAAATTCAAATTATTCAAACTCATAGTTAACTCAATAAAATGTTTAGTAAATTTAAGTGAGTTTCCATTAAATTTTATGAGGATTGTTTTCTCCCATTTTTCTCTTGTCTACTTCTCATTATAATTGCAATCTGTACAATTTCGTTGTTTCTTGTTAATGACGTCACTACATTCAGTTGATAAGTTTCTTTAAAATCATGAACCTGAAAGTACTGGATGTCTAGTATGAGGATCCTCAACAGTTCGTATATACGGTCCGAAATTCGGCTATCGGATTCACCACTTTCGGTATTGCTCAAGAACATTTAAATTTTAGCTACTGAACCAGGATCCAGTTGTGCACAAGTCTACGCTTAATCTATCCCCAATATTCGACTATCCTCATTGGGTACCTTCCTCATAGCCTTCACAATTAAATTCTACTGATCACGGTTTTCAATGGTTGCATAACTTAGATCGACTTGGGATTACAATGTGGCTCAACAATTTCCACAACCTTTTACTGGAAATGATCAGTTTCTTCTGGCACTCGTATATCCTGAGCTTACTGCCTTGTCAATGTCAGTTGGGGTTGAACAGCGATTATGAGGCAAATCGAGGAATTACGTTTGGTGGTCGGCTAGAGATGTACCTGAACCTAAATTTTAAATATTTCAACTGCGACTCCAAAGCAACACATCTTTCACTTCATACGCCGACATATAATCTTCTCACACAATACAGCGACATTCTGAAATCGTTAAGTCATTAGATAACACGACGAGTGTTCGAAGGTATCGATTTGATGAACAAAGACATTATAACCAGATGGGGTAGTAGTATATTTAAAGAGGACATAATTTACTAGCAAAATATGTACATTTTATCTTCAGATTTCCATTTGCAAAACAAGAAAATTACTGTCTATCTTTCACATGCTTTCTCGTCTTCAAAACACTTTGATCTGACACTTCTTTCTAGTAGAAAGTTATTGCTGATACTCTTCTTTATACTACTTATTAGCCACATTGCGAGTAGTATCCACCACTGCTGACCATTATTCACTTTTAAGAAAGACATGTTATGATTTCATTTCATCTTTATTTCACTGATATATATATATATAACTTTCAACTCGATCATTTATTTTTATTTTCCTTATCTAGGCTATTCATGTTGTTCATGGTGTTACAGCTCGTGAAATGTGTACTTATTTTTGGGATGTACGATATCGTATGGAATGGGAATTCACAGTGGATCATCCGCCAGCTGTGCTAGAAGTTTGTGGAGATGATACTGTCGTTACACATCAGGTATTTATTCATTTTTTGAACTAAATTTATTCTATTGTGGTGCAATTAGTCTCCCTTCTGTTGTCTTATTGTTGTATCCCCCAAACCGTTGACCGATATATCACGTGACAAGCAGACATACCGATTGGAACTACATTTTGTCGCAGTAGTAACTTTGAGTCAGCTCGATAGTTTTGTCTCGTCTGCCCTGCCTCGTAGTCCAGAGTCGTCAGCCAACCTCCATAGAATTCGTTATCTCTTCAAACTGACATAGTTTACTCAGAGATCATACCATACCACACACCATAACATCCAGTCAGAAAATACATATATACAAGAGCGAGCCGATAGTAGCTATGAATAATTGGGAGATTGTAAATGATAAACTAGCAATAGATTAGGGAATAACATATCAGACAGCCATAGTTAGTGGGTTATTCGTAAGATCATAATAAAAGGGATATGTGCGTAATCTAGTTACAAAATAAGCCGTTCCCTTTCCCCTGACAGTTGACCGGATTTTTAAGACGTCATCAGGTGGGGGGTGGGAAGCAAGTAATACAGTGAACAGTTGTGTTGTAGCTGGACGATCTGGACTACGCAGATGATCTAGCTCTTCTGTCCTACACGAAACAACAAATGCAAGTGAAGACGTCTAGTGTAGCAACTGACTCTGTAGCAGTAGGCGTTAACATACAGAAGTAGAGAAGCAAAGTCCTCCGATACAACACAACATTCACTAACTAAAAAAGTCGCACTTGGCGGAAAATCTTTGAAAGATGTAGAAACATTTACAAAGCTAGACAACATCATTGATGAGCAAGATGGATCTGATACAGGCGTGAAGACATGGATTAGCAAAGCAAGGGTAGCATTTCTTCAATTGGAGAATATATGGAATTCAAACCAACTATCAACCAACATCAAAGCCAGAATTTTCAATTCAAATGTCCATACAGTTCTACTGTTTGGAGTGGAAACTTGGAGAACCGGAAGATATGAGTATTTATTAACTATTGTCTACACAAGGTAATGCAAATCTGTCGTCTAGGCACCATCAGCAATAAGTCAGTCAGTCAGTCAAATGCAGTGTAGAACTTCGTACGTAAGTACATCAGTTCATGTTGCCATACCACATCAGCACACAGAGATGCAACTGTCAATTTAAATCCAATAGTAGAAGAGGTAGTAAAGGTATTAGAAGTAATCGGAGAGGTTACGATTAGAAGATATTATTCAAGAAGTTTGATTCAGTGAGAAAAGTTTAGAAATTCAAAACTAGAGGTGTTGAAGAATCCAGAAGATTAGGATTTGAGAGAACATAAGGAATAAATGCACCGGGGCCATTGTAAACGGTTCTGAGCCATGTCATTGAGGGTATCTAACCATCGATTATTATCATCTCGCGGACCCCAAACAGGTAGTCGACAATTACCGACATGGCTAAGTCTACTCGTCAATGACTTCATGGATTTGTGCCATGTTTTGGTTTGGCCAACCCTAACTTTATTCCAACCTATTCCTACACTACAAAACAAAGCTCGACGAGGCAGTCGGTGGTTAGGCATACGTAACACATGTCCCAACCACCTCAACTGATGAAGTTTCACCACTTCATCTATTGATCTGCCACAACCTGTTTTGGGAGAGAACAAACCAGATTCCATCTGAGGAAGAAATCAGGAAGAATCGCTGGATGCGGATAGGATACACATTGATGAAAGTGCCCAACTGTGTCATAAGACACACCCTCACTTTCAATCCACAAGGCCAAAGGAAGAGAAGTAGGCCGAAAAACACGTTATACCGAGAATCTGTGGACCAATGTGAAAAGAATGAAGAGCATGTGAATGGAGCTGTAAACGGAGGCCCAGGACAGGTTAGGTTTGAGAATGCTCATCGGTGGCTTATGCCCACTATGGGTAACAGGTATAACAGGTAAATAACTACATAGTTACCGTAAGACACTACACAATACTATTCCATAAATCATTCTTAGGTGTCATCGATTCCTTTCCGATAAAGCATTTCTCTTTTCAATTGTTTGATTTCAATTCAGATTTATAAACGTGTATGGCCAACAACTCAAAGAGATTCTTTATTCTGGTCTCATATATGTCCTGTGAATCCTATTCAAACAAATTCCAGTCCTACATCGAATTCCCCAACAGATTCTCAAAATACTAACAATGATCACGTCAATCCCACGTCAATTGGGACAACGGCATTCACATCGAATGGCTCATTGCCATCCCAATCCATTCCCAGTAATCATATTTTAGACGGATGGATGGTTGTCAATATGTCAACCGATTATCTTTCAGATAAAATCCCACCCTCACCTTCACCAACTATTCGTCTAGGCTTAGAAGTTGTATTATTTTGTCGTACAGAAATTCTATCCAATGATTCTTCTTCTTCAGAAGACTTCAAAAAACCCAATTCTTCTCATCATGATGATGATGACGACAATGGTCAGCATAAATTAACACGTGATCAATTGTGTACACGTCTTGTCTATATGGCCAATATTAATCCAGGCGGTTGGGTACCAGCAGCTGGTCTACGTACTCTAGCACAACGTGAATATCCACGATTTTTAAAACGTTTCAGTGCTTATGTGAAAGAGCAGACACAAAATAAACAACCGTTATTTTAATAGATGGGCGAGGTTATATCGATTTTTTTTCCCAGCGGTTGGTTGATCCGCTTTCTTTGTCATCTTTGTGATATACACTTATTCTTATCATAACTGTGATTACTTTTTCTATGCTTCAACGATAAAATTTTTCACACCTCAGTTGGTGTAAATTTATTTTATTTTTAAAATTGTCACGAAAAATTAATTGTCGAAACAAATTGAAAATTGTATTTTTTTGACTGATAGCATTTTTCTGTTATATTCAAAAAAGTTGTTCATCTGAACTGAAAGCATTCTGATGAAATTTTAATATTCTATCGTTTTGATTTTCGCTTTTCTATTTATTTCTGGTGATAATGTGATGTGACAAATCATATTTTTGTATTATTGAACACTGAACATGTGTGTATGTGACTTCGGTTTAAATGAACACACACAAAAAACCTGTTATAAAAGTGTATTTTTATTACAAAATTTAAACCAGTTCGGAGACACACACACGGAGAGAGAAAGAGACAGAGAGAGGAGGATGTGAAGTGATCCTGATATAATTTTTAAATACACCTCTTTTTGTTCATGCATAATACATATGTGTTCAATAAAAAATTGGACATTGAACACTGTCTCATTTAAAATGTTTTTGTGTGAATATAATATTGTTAATTTTTGAGAGGAAAAAAAAGTACCTTTTTCTGTTTGTATCAGTTAGTTTTTTGGGTCTTTTCTTTACTGTTTCACTGTTCAATAAAGATTATCTTGTATTTAGGCTGTTTAACCTGTTTCACATTCATGATACTTTTATATAATGACACTGTGATCTTTGTTTTGTGCCAAAAAACATTTCAATTCTACGATTATTTATGTGGTTAATAAATTGTAGCGCAGTTATTGATTAGATAAAACAAATTGTGAATAATGGCGAAAAAATTGCGCTGGTTATTGAACATTGAAAACTATGAATAATTTGCAGCTGTGATAGTGTGTTTTCCCTCTTTCTATATGATAATTAGTTTTATTTTCTCTCTCTCCGAAAAAAAACAAACTATTCTCCATGTGTTTTTTATTTTTGTTTTAATTGTTACAAAAGAAATGTAATTTATATTAATAGAGTAACAATGAACAAAAGACAATCGGATATATATATATATATATATATATATATGTATGAACTATGAAAATATTGTCCTTTTTTTTATCACGACAATCAATCTGTTGTATTTGAAATGCGTTCATTGTATTCTGTGCTATTCATTATCTTATTTTGTATTCAATAATCAATTTCGTTTTTTAAAAAAAATTTCAAAGATGGATTGATTCAATTTGCCATTCATTTATTATCGTTCATTGAACCGTTGAGCAATAAATCATGTGACTAGTAGTACAATAAACCAATCACAATTATGTTAGAGGGTACAGAGAAAACCTTGAGACAGAGCTGAATTCCTATTGGTTCACTAATTGGTAGCATTGTCTTGTCTACTCTATTAGTCTAGACGTCTGTAGTCATTATTCACGAGATTCGTTATATATTTTCGAAGCAGACATCGTTTATCTGTGTAATAAGCATAATGTTAGGATATTCATCAAATATCTTAAGAAAATTATTTTTGGTTGTCTAATTCTATTGGTCAATTCCTATTGGTCAATAGTGTGATCGTCCTAACTATCAATGTCACGTACTTCAATGTTGTTTCCTATTCGACTTAATTGTATAAATGCTCAATATCTGTGACGTCCAGGATCCTGATTATCTTCTGGACTCGGACGTCGTACTTTCTGGATGCTTGTAGAATACAGGTTCTACTTCATATCAAGTCTTCTTCTTTTACGGAATGGGGGTTTGGGACAATCGGATTAGAGTAGTCTGTCGTGTCACCGGATTCTCGATCCTCATTCTCGTTTTCCGACTAAGGTAAACTCGTAATGTAGTTCAAGCATATCGAAATGATGTGTTTACGTGCCTTCGTAACACATACCAAACCATATCACACGATAGAATGAGAAACTAAAGTTGTATTTGAGCAAATGAAAACGGACTGTGAATAAGGGGAAAACTAGCGTAAGATTCGGCGTGATAAACTACACAACGGTAGCTTATCAGTTCATCGGAAGATAAAAGGGATATATAAATACATATATCAGTAATAATAACAAGAATCTCGTTATTGAATAATAAGGTTACTTACTTACTTAGGCATGTTACCCCTAACGGGGCAACTCCACCTGAAGCTTCCCTGGGGCCACTGTCTGCCCCAATCCCGGATAAAGGGTTGGGCATATAGGGTTGGCGACCCCATCCCACAAAGAAAAACTCGAACCAGAACACATAATTCAATAACAAGTTTATACACAATGATATTAATTCATATATCACAATATCAAGAGTTAGTTACCAATACCTCTAATCCATTTTCCTGTTAAAGTAATTTTTATCTTGAAATTCAATAAAAATTATCATTAGTTTGAAAATGCAGCAAAAAATGTTCAATATATTGGTTTTTTCTGCTTTTACATGTAAAATTATTGTTTCTAGACTGGTCTACTATGTTCAGTTATCGGGAAAAAAAAATGAAATAGTCGAGTGGTTTTATTCGAGCTATCCGCCTACGCGATAAATTTTATCAAAGTCAAAGATAAACATAGGCTTTATGTATTTACACATTTAAAACCATGAATCGGTAGCTGTTAGACCACCATTAGAAACCTGAAAGCACTGGATGGCCGTTTTGTCCTGTCTGGTATAGGACTCATCAACATACTGGCTTAGCGGTCCAGAGGTTAGGCGTTCGCGCACCAGACCGGAGGTCATGGGTTAGAATCCTGCTGGGTGCAAGAGTCGTGGACGCGCACTGCCACTGATGAGTCAGTCCCATACCAGGATGAGACGGTCGTCCAGTGCATCCAGGTTTCTAATGGTGGTTTAACACTGATCGATTAATGGTTTCAAATGTGTAACTTAACAATCTTCACAACCCCGTAATGCTTTAAGTATTTGTTCGTAGGTGCGTCCTGTTACGTCTGCACGTAAACACGTTAACTAGGTATATTTGAACTATTACGAGTTTACCTTAGTCAGTAAACGAGAGCGAGGATCGAGAATCCGGCGACACGACAGACTACTGTAATCCAATTTTCCCAAACCCCATACCATATTCAGTAAAAATAAGAAGACGTGAGATGAAGTAGAATATGTATTCTACTAGCATCCAGAAAGTACGAGGTCCGAATCCAGAAGAGAATCGGGATCCCGGACTAGGGATCCGAGACCGAGCCCTGGTCCTGGTTGTGGTCATAAAACGTTATAAATAATGCGTATTTATACATTTTGTTCGAATAGGAAACAGCATGGAAGTCTGTGACATTGACAGTTAAGATGACCAATAGGAAGCAAAATTTGAAGTGACATTGACAGTCCGGATGGCCAATAAGAGACAATATTGAAGTATTTGACTTTGACAATTAAAACGACCATAATTTTTACCTATAGAAATCGACCAATAGGATTCGACCAATAAATTCTCTTAGGATGAATATCCTAACACGTTCAAAGCAATTTGAATATTTATGCGCTACATAAACTATAGAATTTGTGAGTGATTTGGGGGACACTGACCGGTCATGAAAGCCGAAACTGATGTTTTTCTTAAGAGACTACACTCTGAACTTTAATCCAGATGTCTTATTCTCAAAACAGAAGAGCGATGTGAGGGAATTCATAGCGATTATGAGAGCATTTAGAATGAGAGAGAGAGATAGAGGAATCTCTCCAAGCTCGAACGTACCAGGACACTAATACCGTATTATTCACATTTATAAATAATATTGTACTGTACTATTATTAATGGTCGACTGATTTGTTTACATCACATCATATAAAATTCAATTTTCTTTGAGAATTTATGGATTCTTCATTTTAAATTTTAGATTGAAACTTAATTGTTTCTGGTATGCTTGATTCTTTGTTGATTCTTCATGATAATCAATGAATCTTTATAAGGACGATTTGTGAGTGATATATTGAACTGTAGTCAGATGTAGTCAAATATGAAGGCCCGCTCCTCATCAACGACACAAATCTGCACAAATATACAAAGTTTCAGAGTCAAAGTCTGCTTGAACTCATCGATCTATGCTTAAAAACGTATATTCAGTTGGGCAACAGAGTCTGCGAACAAACAAAAGGAACACCAATGGGATCACCAATATCAGGACTCATCGCCGAAGCGGTAATGCAGAGACTGGAAGCGTCGATTCTGCCAGTGATCAAGCCAAAAATGTGGGTTCGCTATGTAGACGACACATTCGTTATTATCAAAAAGAACGAGCTGGCTAACATCGACAATCAGATCAACAACATGTTCGATGATATCAAATTCGCGATGGAAAAGGAATCAAACAACAGTCTATCATTTCTGGATGTACTAATCATCAGAACTAACACGGGAAAACTAGAAAATCAAGTATTTCGGAAGCCAACCCACACAGACGTAATTCTTAACTACGATAGCAACAAGCCAAAAACCTACAAAATCAACTGCATACAAACTTTGTTCAAGAGAGCGAAGACACACTGCACCACATACGAAGCATTAAAAAACGAGGAAAAACACCTGATGACTATCTTCCAAAAGAACGGCTATCCATCATCTTTCATCAAAAAACATCAACTGAAATCGTCAACAGAAGCGAAATCAAGTACAGGAACCAGTCAACGGATCATCCTACCATACATAAAAAGACATATCGGAGCATACAGCTCGACTACTGAAACCATTTGGAATAGGTGTGGTACACAAATCAACAGAATCAATTCAGTCAATCCTATGTAGACCAAAGGACAAAATGACAAAAGAAGAAAAACCAAATATCATCTGCAAAATAAATTGCTCAAACTGTGAAAAACACTACATAGGACAAAGTGGACGACCTCGTCTGCTTCGTTTACGTGAACAGCAATCGGCAGTCAAACACCACGACGATTAATCGCTTATATCAATACACACCGACAATTATGGATATACATTCGATTGGAACAATGTGGAAATACTGGATAGGGGGCGGAGAAAGAAAACTAAAGAATGTTTAGAAGCTTGGCACTCAGGTCAATCAGCAATCAACAAACATATTAACATTGACCGA